AGGGACACAGAATTGTTACTGAGAGACACAGAATTGTTACTGAGGGACACAGAATTGTTACTCAGGGACACAGAATTGTTACTCAGGGACAGACACAGAATTGTTACTGAGGGACACAGAATTGTTACTGAGGGACACAGAATTGTTACTCAGGGACAGACACAGAATTGTTACTGAGGGACACAGAATTGTTACTCAGGGACAGACACAGAATTGTTACTGAGGGACACAGAATTGTTACTGAGGGACACAGAATTGTTACTCAGGGACACAGAATTGTTACTCAGGACACAGAATTGTTACTCAGGGACAGACACAGATTTGTTACTGAGGGACACAGAATTGTTACTGAGGGACACAGAATCGTTCTGAGGGACACAGAATTGTTACTCAGGGACACAGAATTGTTACTCAGGGACAGACACAGAATTGTTACTGAGGGACACAGAATTGTTATCAGGGACAGACACAGAATTGTTACTGAGGGACACAGAATTGTTACTGAGGGACACAGAATTGTTACTGAGGGACACAGAATTGTTACTCAGGGACACAGAATTGTTACTCAGGGACACACAGAATTGTTACTGAGGGACACAGAATTGTTACTCAGGGACACAGAATTGTTACTCAGGGACAGACACAGAATTGTTACTGAGAGACACAGAATTGTTACTGAGGGACACAGAATTGTTACTGAGGGACACAGAATTGTTACTCAGGGACAGACACAGAATTGTTACTGAGGGACACAGAATTGTTACTCAGGGACAGACACACACACAGAATTGTTACTGAGGGACACAGAATTGTTACTGAGGGACAGACACAGAATTGTTACTGAGGGACACAGAATTGTTACTGAGGGACACAGAATTGTTACTGAAGGACACAGAATTGTTACTCAGGGACAGACACAGAATTGTTACTCAGGGACAGGCACAGAATTGTTACTCAGGGACAGACACAGAATTGTTACTGAGGGAAAGACACAGAATTGTTACTGAGGGACACAGAATTGTTACTGAGGGACACAGAATTGTTACTGAGGGACACAGAATTGTTACTCAGGGACAGACACAGAATTGTTACTCAGGGACAGACACAGAATTGTTACTCAGGGACAGACACAGAATTGTTACTGAGGGACACAGAATTGTTACTGAGGGACACAGAATTGTTACTGAGGGACACAGAATTGTTACTCAGGGACACAGAATTGTTACTCAGGGACACAGAATTGTTACTCAGGGACAGACACAGAATTGTTACTGAGGGACACAGAATTGTTACTCAGGGACAGACACAGAATTGTTACTCAGGGACAGGGACAGAATTGTTACTCAGGGACACAGAATTGTTACTGAGGGACACAGAATTGTTACTCAGGGACACAGAATTGTTACTCAGGGACACAGAATTGTTACTCAGGGACAGACACAGAATTGTTACTGAGGGACACAGAATTGTTACTGAGGGACACAGAATTGTTACTGAGGGACACAGAATTGTTACTCAGGGACACAGAATTGTTACTCAGGGACACATAATTGTTACTCAGGGACAGACACAGAATTGTTACTGAGGGACACAGAATTGTTACTCAGGGACACAGAATCGTTGAATTAAAGAGTATGTCAGACAACATGCAGAGGAGTGGCAGAGGAGGCAATGTTTTAGGAGCGAGCAGACGTGGCAGCAGAGGAAGGGGTCGAGGCAGCACTAGTCGCAGCCAGAGGCCAGTGCTCCCGGTGTCATCCAGTGGTCGTGTCTCCACCGACAACCCTGCCGTCATCGATTGGTTTGCTCGGTCGTCTGTCTCTTCCTCTTCCCAGGTCACCTCTGACACCTACAGCCAATGGTCGGTGGGTACGTCAGACACAACCGTTAGTTGGCATGGCCCGGGAGCAAGCCCACTGAAATCACGTGTCCTCGACCTGCCCCTGTCCTTTGGTGTTCCCTCACCAAGCGAAGTATCGCATGCTGTGGGCTCAGCCCCACTGTACAGTGAGGAAGAGCTAACAGAGGGCGGTCAGGAACGGGGGGAGACATCCGCCTCTTCAGCAGCCAGGCGAAGAAGTACTGGCGAGGAGAGTGGCTCGGTAGCCGGTCTAGAGACAGGTCTGTTTGACTTCCTCGGGGGCTAGTAGTGAGGCGGAGACCCTAATTGATGATGATGAGGCTGATCGCACTTGGCAGCCTCGTCGTCATCAGGCTATTGCTTCCGCATCATCAGGAGAAGAGGGTGCCAGCTTGCCAGCGAGCAAAACAGTCGGTGGGTTGCCCAGGAGGCAGCAGGGTCGCAGCAGCAGTGTCAGTGGAGGCAAACGGCCACGGAGTAGAGCACCAGCTCCACTGCAGCCTACCACCACGGCCAGTAGTGGTGCCGGTGTGCACGGAGGAAGTAGCAGTCAGCCAGTGAGGAGTAGCGGGGGCAAAGTTTCCTACTCGGCGGTGTGGCAATTTTTCGTCAAGCCGCCCGAGGAAGTAAACGTAGCCGTATGTCGACTATGTGGCCAGAAAGTCAAGCGTGGCCAGGGGGCCCATGTTGGGACTACAGCGTTGCGGCAGCATATGCAGCGTCGCCATTTGGTGGCCTGGGAAAACCGTGATAAAGATACGGCGGTTCTGCCTGCCCCAGCCCCCGCTCCATCACCCGCTCCGTTACTTGCTCCGTCACCCAACGTCAATCGCCCTCTATCAGCCAGTCAAGGCTCCAACACCTCTGCTGAGGGGAGTTGTCGCTTGTTGGCATCTTCCGCTCGTTCAGATGCTCCTTCTCCTGCTACTCCTCTTCACGGATTCCGTCAGCAGTCTTTCTTGGAATCCGTTTCCAAGAGACAACAGTTTGCGAGCACGCACCCGACGGTGCAGAAGCTGAACGTCCTCCTGTCCAAGTTGCTGGTGCTGCAGTCCCTCCCTTTCCAAGTGGTGGACTCAGCACCTTTCCGAGAAATGATGGCTTGTGCCGCGCCGCGGTGGAGAGTGCCAAGCCGGCATTTCTTCGCCAAAAAGGCAGTGCCAGCCCTGCATTCACATGTAGAAGAGATGGTGGGCCAGTCTTTGAGCATGTCGGTCTCTGCCAAAGTGCACGGCAGCACCGACGTGTGGAGCTGTAACTACGGTCAGGGACAGTACATGTCATTTACGGCCCACTGGGTGAACGTGGTGCCGGCACAGCCGCACCAGCAACTTGGACAAGTCACGCCGCTTTTGCCTCCACGTTTGCACGTCCTTGGTCCGGCAAAGATGTCCGCCTCTACCACCTCTTCTTCCGCCGTGTCCTCAGCCGCCACCCCCGTGCCAAGTCCCATTACCCGACCGGCATATCACATGTGCAGGGCGCAACGGTGTCACGCTGTGCTGCACCTGGTATGCCTTGGCGAACGTAGTCACACAGGGGAGGAACTTCTGAGTGTAATGAACAGAGAAATCGACAGATGGCTGTCTCTGCGCAAACTGAAAATCGGAACCATGTTGACCGACAACGGAAAGAACATGGTGTCTGCTCTGCGTCAAGGAAGGTTGTGCCATGCGCCATGCATGGCTCACGTGTTCAATCTAGTTGTCAAGCGGTTCCTAAAATCCACCATCCCACTGCAAGACATCCTTAAAATGTCACGTAAACTTTGCATGCATTTCAGCCATTCCTACACCGCAAAGCACACCCTCCTTGAGCTGCAGCGGCAGAACGGAATTCCACAGCATCGCCTGATCTGCGACGTTGCAACAAGGTGGAATTCAACCCTACACATGTTAGACCGCCTTTACGAACAGCGAAAGGCCATCACCGATTTCCTGATGTTACAAGCGGATAAAGGTACTCCCCTGTGTAACTTCGATGTCAGCCATTGGCAGCTCATGCGTGACACCTGCTTGCTCAGGCCCTTTGAGGAGGCCACGCTATTCGTGAGTCGGCAGGACTATGGGATGAACGACGTCATTCCTCTGTTGCACGTCCTGGAACAAATGCTGTTAACAATGGCTGGTCAGGGTGCGGTAGATGTGGCGCACAGATCTCAATGCCACATGACCCCTGTGGGGGCAGGACAGGAAGAAGAGGAGGAGGTAGAGGAGGACATTGCTGCTCAGGAATTATTGAGTGAAATGGGTGGTTTTTTCCACTCAGCGGACAGGAGTGGAGGAGCAGGAGCATCTGGTAGAGGAGGAGGAGGAGGAGACAGAGGACCCAGATGCACCGTGGCAGTATGCTGTGGAGATGGAGGCAGGGAGTCCCTCGCATTCCTTGGCACAAATGGCCCATAGCATGCTCGGTTGCTTGCGTAGCGACAGCCGAATAATAACCATCAGACAGAGGGATGACTTTTGGCTGTCCACCTTGTTGGACCCTCGCTACCGTTCAAAAATGGTGGCCTTTTTCACACCTGCTGAGAGGGAGGCCAAAATAACGTACTATAAAAACCACCTATGTAGTCAGCTGGTCTCTGCCTTTCTGCGCCAACGTCCATCCTCAGACACTGTGGGCCCTGTGCGCTCGCGTTCCGCTGCCATGGCAGCAGGGGAGGGGTGGGGTGGTAGGAGCAGTGGCAGCTCCACCAGCAGCGGCTGCCTCAGTCTGCAGTCGATGATGAGTAGCTTTCTTCACCAGCGCAGTGAGGAAACTACTAACCAGCCGCAGCAGCAGCAGCATCAGGTGGACCTGGAGCAGGACCTCAAACAACAGGCTTGGGCCTACTTGGACAACACCCTGCCAACCGAGGTAGACAATCCCCTTGACTACTGGGCAACGAAACTTGACCTTTGGCCCCAACTAGCTGAATTTGCCCTTGAAAGGCTGTCATGCCCGGCCAGTAGCGTGGCATCGGAGCGCGTGTTTAGTGCGGCAGGAGGTATTGTAACTCCGCGGAGGACACGACTGTCCACCCAAAGTGTGGAGAGACTCACGTTTGTGAAAATGAATCAGGCGTGGATTAGTCTGGATTTCAAACCACCAGTTCCTGACACAACTGACTAAATCCGCCATGAATCATGCCCCAAACATGTGCCACTTTCAGGTCTCCTCACACTGCTGGTGGGTTCCATTTTGTCATAGGGTGCTGGCAGATTACAGGCCTCCCATTGCTGCTGCCAGGCCCGTAATCTGCCATGGGCCCCTGTACCGCCTCCTCATGCTGCTGCCAGGTCCAGAGTGTGTCATGGGTCCCTGTACGGCCTCCCATTGCTGCATCTCCATCGCCACACTCTGCCATGTGCCACTTTCAGGTCTCCTCACACTGCTGGTGGGTTCCATTTTGTCATAGGGTGCTGTATGGCCTCCCATTGCTGCTGCCAGGCCCGTAATCTGCCATGGGCCCCCGTACCGACTCCTCATGCTGCTGCCAGGCCCGTAATCTGTCATGGGCCCCTGTACCGCCTCCTCATGCTGCTGCCAGGTCCAGAGTGTGTCATGGGTCCCTGTACGGCCTCCCATTGCTGCTGTCTCCATCGCCACACTCTGCCATGTGCCACTTTCAGGTCTCCTCACACTGCTGGTGGGTTCCATTTTTGTCATAGGGTGCTGTATGGCCTCCCATTGCTGCTGCCTCCACCGCCACACTGTGGCTCCACACTCTGGTTTTGACCCCGTGACTGCCCAAATGAGTGAAGTGTGCGGTGATTCTAAGATCGACGGCACTCATCTGCATGTCATACTGACTGACAGTATTATTTCTCTTCCCCAGCAGACTCCAAGGGCATTTAAATTAAAGGTACAGTGTTCTGCACTAATATAAAGGCTCTCTGAAGCCTAGAAACACCCTTTTATAAGTTAAATTCGCAGCGAATATATTCGCCTCGAATCGAATTTATTCCTCGAATTCGCCGAATCAGCCGAATCGAATTTTTGAATACTTCGCTCATCTCTAGTTATAATTGAGTTTTATTAAAGCTGTACTGAATGTTATAGTATAATTCAATGAAGGAATCTCTCCTTTAGTTTCTCTCCTCTCCACTGAGAGTTTTAGCTATAGTTCGCCTACAGATTCCACATCTAAAGAACCCGCTGTGTGAGGCCTTAAAGATTAACTCCACTTTTGTGGGAAAAAAATTAGCAAATTAAAAAAAAAAACTAATATACAATTGCGACACAAATCATATTGTAATTGAATGTTATTAAAAACTACCTTTCCTTTTCAGTCTGCAGCACTGTAATTTTCTGTAAAATGCAAAGCAATATGGCTACCTGGAGGCATTCTGTACACAAATGGTGTACAGAACTTTTCCAGATATGTAATTTCCTGCTTGAATAATTTGCTTACTGATTTTCCCAGAAGTCTGCACTACAATACAACTCAGATGCTCTAACAGTGCATTGTGATTGGCCAAAGCAATGCACCTGACCATAGGTCAATGCTTTGGACAATCACAGCACAATTGGGCGGAGCTAGTGGTGACATCACCGCTAGCTTTGCCCAAGTGTTTACATCTGACCAGCAAATGTCAGATTACGAGCAGTGCTCAGCAGGTGTGGACGGGTCAACGGCTGTCAGGTTTTTATTTAATTTTGGCAAGTCTGTGTCATCGTAACAACGCTGGACACCATGATTGACAGGGGATCACAACGATGGAACCATTTTTTGGCTTTTTTTTAAATAAAAGACTTTTCAAAAACTTTTGATTTGTTTTTTGTTCAATAAAGGAATTTTTCAAAAGACTGGTCTCTATTTTTTTTTCAAAGTTTAACCCTTTAGTGAATGGGTTGGGGTACAAATACTCCTTACTCAAGTGGGGGGCAGCCTCATTTTTTGGGGGTGGGGTTCAACCTAAAAGTCCTACCAGGCCTAAAGGTCCTGGTATGGCTTTTAGGGGGAACCCCACGCACTTTAAAAAAATTTGTACTGTGGGATCCCTCCCGACCTTCCTACCAGACCCTGGTCTGGTAGGGATTAGGGAGAGGACCCAATGCTGGGTTTTTTTGGGGAGTTTTTTTATAAAAATGTAATTCTTTTAAAAAAATGTATTTTAAAAAAAATGTCAGTCCTGCTGCTGCAGGTTTTATACATTGTACAGATGAACAACTTTTCAGGTAGTTTAACGGGACCCCCCCCCCCACCCCCCAGACATAATATTTGAAGTGTTACTACACCCACAACAGTAAAATCAGTCTGTATATGCAGTAAAGCATGCTTGTTATACTCACTGTGAACCAAAGGGGTTAGTCCTCCACATTGTGTAAAAAGGATGTTTGATCCTGTCTTCTCTGATCCTCCCCTTCTTCCAGTGTCTCCAAAATATCTCCTGATAGAAGAGATGCTCGGAGGCAAGCTGCACATGCTCAGTTTGGTTTGTATTGCTAGAGATTTTTTTATAGTGCATGTGATCAGCACAGGGCCAATCAGCACTGTCCAGACAGAGATCAGGGGTCCTGCATCCTCCTAGAGCAGAATGAAAACTCATCCTGCAAGATTTAACCAGTGCACAGCTGGACACTGATAGAAGTCACAAGACTGCTCTAACTGCTGATGAGAAAAGTTATTTAGCAGTTTATATTTACTAAAATAATTGCATTTACATGTTTTCTGTACTGTGGGAGGCCAGACATAGTGAATGCAGGGTTATGGGTTCAGTAACACTTTAAAACATTTTTTTTCACTTTGAGCAATGAAAAATGACTGCCCCTTTAAAAATTTTACTTTTTGACATTTTTTTCACTTATTCATGTCCCTCAGGGCAGTACCCAAGTCCCCATTCCTCTTTCATGGCCAATAACTTGCATATAAGCCTTCAAAATGGGCACTTTTGAATTTACAAGTTTGAGTCCCATAGACTTGAATTAGGTTTGCAGTCGAACATTCAAACATAATGAATGTAGGCGCATCATTATTGATAAATAAAGCCTTGTGTTTTAAGATTTAATAGAAAAGTATGTTTTTTTTTAAATCATACTTACCTAGGTGTTCCCCCCAGCTATAAGTATGATAACACAGCGATCACATGACTGCTGATCGCTGAGTTCTCCCCTCCAATCTGAGCAGAGAGCGGCAACTGTCAGAAGAGCTTTGGCTGTACTCCTTTCATGTCAGTATACTGTGATTGCACAGTTCTTAAATTGTTTGATTGATTGCTAGTACATGCTACATGTGTAGGTTGCACCATAGAGTGCCAATTGTTCCATTTATTATCAATCAATATCTACTATTAATCACTAGCTCCCTCTCTCTCTTGGATTACTACCTATGCAAGGTAGAAGTAAGTCAATAGCCGCTTTCATTTTATGAAATGACCCACTCCTTTGTAACGCAGGACAGGTACTTCAATGATTCATTATTAGTCAATTTTTGGAAGTGAAAAATATCAAAACTCCAGTAGTTTAGTATTGAAATATATTCACTACTACTTGATTCTAACTTGCTGGGATTAAATCATGACCTCTCTCTTTTGATCATAAAAATGAACATTTATATTCAATAGGTTGTGTGAGAACAGGAAAAAATATAGTATTTCATTAGAGTGTTAATTATGATACCTACCAAATGATTTCTAGTCTATAAAGAAACACAAAAATCACTTGTTTTACCACACTGAGTTTATTGAAAGGGAACAAATATTGATTTCTTTTCTTAAGTAAAATGCTTTACAGAACGTGTAAAAGTTTAACTCCATGGTTACATTGCACATTTTTTTTCATAAGTAAAAATACCTTTTGTTTCTTTTCTTTTATACTTAAAATATGTATCAAGGACCTGAACCGCATAGGTAGTTAACCAAATATTAATATCAGGATATGAAAAACCGCAGTAAAAGATTAAAATTCTTAGGTTAATCATCAGTGATATTTGAAATGCCAGCCATTTTGAGAAAGGTATAAATTGGAGGCCTGTAAACAAGGTTGACGCTCTAAAATACTATCCGCTGCAGCAGTGTCAGACGTGGGCAACTTTTCCCACCGTGGAACTCCAAATCTCATTATGCTCTGCCAATCTACTAGCTGGCAAGGTATTCTGGGAAATAGAGAAGGAGGGTGTGGGGTTGCCCAACCCTGAGCTACATTGATGGCAGTGATAATTTTTCACTGAGCTGCACCAATACAGAAACCAGCGACAAAAAATTCTGTGGAACATTTAGCAAAATCGCGTACAATACAATTTGGCACTAGGTTCATTTAAAAACAGTAGTCAATATTTTACATATATCAAGCACACTCTCAGGTAAATAAAAACAGTTAAAAAAAATCAAATTTTGGGGCAAATCATTTTTTTCTTTTTTTCTAGTGTTGACCCTAAATAAACCACATAGAACACAAAGATAAATCCAAATATTACAGTATAGTAGAATAAAACAAGTTTGTTTTGTAAATTCACATTCGCACAAGATATTAAGAGGTCAGCCCACCCAAAAGCGACATTATCAGTTATAGTGAATCTTGGTGCACTGATTCTTACATATTTTGGGGACTGTAGTTGAAAGATCTCACTGTCATAGATCCTAGCTGTGTTCCCATCCATCTTGGTGATTTTGGCATATCCACTCATTTTTTGGATACTCTTGCTTTCCTGTTCAATTCTCAACTATAGAAAAATAAACTGTAAAAACAGCAAGGAGAGTAGGGACCCTTGCAGTGCCCGTGCTAAGTGTGCAGGATTGGAAACTCAAGTGCAGAGATCTCATCACCACAATTACCAGGAAACATATCAAGCCGTCAGTTAGTTATACTCTTCAGTATCTGTCAGAGACTCAATAATCATTTTTCGGTGGGCTGATCCTTTAAAATATACATTTTTTCAATATATTGACTTATATATTTGTGTATAAATCATTTTAAACACAAAGGAACCCCATGGTGCAACACTAGTTACTAACACTGTGATGGAATGTTCTGTAGCTCAGAAGATATCTTTCAGATACATTAAAAAGGCATCAATTCCTTTAAAATTTAAAAAATTTTGGTCCTTACCTAAAACATACCATGATTGTATTACTTGTATCAAAATGGCGACCTTTTAAGTTAATATTCAATGGCATGATAAAATGGATCTTTTTTTTTTATTTGTTCATTGTGAGTTGTATTAACGCTGTTGTGGCAGTGCTGGCTAAATTGGACCCATTTACTATATAGAGCTTATTTAATCACAGAGTGCAAATAGCACAGACAGAGTGACTCACAACAGCCAGTCAGAATTCTTCTTTCACCCATCAAAATGCAGAGCTGAAATAATAATCCGATTGGCTGTTGTGAGGCGTAACACATTTTTGCTGATTGCACAATGACAAAAAAGCAGAACTTCACCCTAAAGTTAAAAAAGTGGTATTGGGTGGTGTACAATAGTCTAGGTAAATAAACAAAAGTCAAGTCTATTCAAAATGATTTGATTGATTTGATCAACCGCTGACTTCCTAAAGTGTATGTAAACCTTAAACTTTTAATGAGAGAAACAAATTTTTCTTATCATGCAATACTTAAGTATTTTGTGCTTTGTTTTCAAATAATTTCTTGTTTATCCTGCCTGTACTAGTTTTGTCTCCTCTTTTTATGACAAGATGACAACTGTCCCTTAGCTGCTTCCTAAGCAGGAGCAACATTGTCACCCTGGGGTTGTATTGTATTTTTGCAGAGCATGGTGGGCTGTGCTACAGCAATTCAGCACCTCCCACCTAGGGGCTTAATTCATTATTGACTGCTTGTCCCAAGCCTATTGTTTGCCTGTGTACCTAGACCAGTGCCGAGACAAGGTCATATGCCGCCCAGGGCAAAGATGCTAAACTGGCCACCCCCATTCCTGGTGTGCAAGTGTAG